AATAAATGTTACTAAAATGTTATGATTTTAGAAATTTCTCTGTTGTTCAGCTCTGAAATTATACTAAAACAATTATTCGCCTCAGCTTCGGATAATATTGTCGAATAATCCCCTCCACTTTGTCTCGGGGATTATTCGACGATATTCACCTCGCCTTCGGTGAATAATTGTTAAATAAAGTGTTGTTTAGGTAGTCTATATCCTACTTTAAGTCTCTTGACAAAGGAAAAGGAAAGTCTTCAAAACTTCAACGCAAAAGAATACTAAGAAAAATTTACTATAAAAATAATAGAAATAATCTATAACTGATAAGTTTAAGGAAGTCTTGCTCAACCCTTCTCTACTTACAGATCCCCGTCTTTAGTGTCTAAGTTCCTCCTTCTCGGGGTTCTAGATCCCATTAGACATAGAACTGAAGCGCACTCCGCAAAATTGCAAAGGACACTTTCGCTCTGACCTGAGACCTCTGTATGCTCCACTTGTCACCACTGTATCGGATCGAGTAGGGTTTGGATAACTGAGAGGTAAAAATTTATCGGTATTGACGAATTTTTATGCGGTTTTCGGTTTTGATCGATTTCTTGCGGTTTTGGAGGATTTGTTTCTACGGTTTTGTGGTTTCTAATAGACCCCAATGCACCCCTCCTTTCTGAATCTCGTCGGTTGCCTCCCAAGAACGAATTCGTAACGGAAGAATGCCACCAAAGAGGGTGCAAAGATGTTACTTGACGGTGACTGTATGCAAATGACTCAACTTTTGATTTACGATCTTTGTGCGACGCAATCAGCAACGCATCAGAGTGCGCCACCGCCTACATTGAACGCAGATAACTGTTCTTGTGTGTGTGTCGTATTTAGCAGCTAGTGCGAGAGCATTGAGTAATCGTTCCTCATTCAGCATACACTGTACAATCCAAAACGGGATCATAGCCGGATGAGCATGCCGCCAAAGCAGGATACCCGCAAAAGTGGATGTAAAGAACCAGAAGAGTCAGTAAAGAATATTACCGAACGGGCAGGAGGTTTGAAGATCAAAGACAGCCATGGTAAAGATACAAAGCAAGGAAATGACAGAACCCCTGAGAATAAGAGCAAGGGAAATGAAACGAAGAGAGGACCACGAAGAAAATTGAAATTGACGCTAAACGATGGAGAATATATGAAGGATCACCCGTGGGAACCGGCTCGACCTGGGAATATGTCTGACTACATGGCGGAATCAGCAGTGTATACGGTGGGCAAAAATTGGAAACATTCGGATAAGGTCAATTTAGGACAAATTTATAAGCATCTCCCTCAATTTGTAAAGGAAATTAAAGGCAAAGCGTGTCGGCAAGAGCTAGAAGAGGTATTGCAAATTGATGAAAGCTCAAACACCGAAGGATCAGAGACCGAGGCCTCAGCAAACGAAGACACAGACAAAGACTTAGGGGACGAAGGGTCAGAAAACCATAGCTCAAATAACAAAGATATGAAAAGCGGAGGCTCAGAAGCCAAAGCCTCACCCAAAATGCAGTGGTTTAAGTCGATCTCTGAAGAAAATCTAACTCCGCACGTAAAGGAAGTAGTTGACAAGCAAAGGAAAAAGGACGAGCCAAAGGACAAGCCAGATCTTCCAAGCGAAGAAAAAGAAAGTTTTAGGGCTTATTCTTTGCCACCGCCACAAAAATCACCGCAAAACCCAAACATCTGGTTCCTAGACTGCGAATATACGTGCAAGGTTCATTTACCTGATAACACTTCACATTGGCTCCACGATAGCGGCAAGAGCGGTAAGCGAATTAGAGCAATTAAACCTGACAAAATCAACAAAAGAAGATGGATTTATACACCTTCTTTTCGTCGAGCGAAGATTGCTCTGCTGGATTGGCCGGAAGATCAAATCCTGAACTCTAGAAACACAATCAGGATTCTTGTCGTAAGAACCACTGAATTCGAAGAGTATTTCAAGTACTGTGGAGAAAAGTTTCACATCATCAGCCAACCAAATTATGAGATTGGTGCTGGATACCCCAGATTGTGGATACAAAAAATTGCTCAACGATTGAAGTGGAACTTCATTTGGATGATTGATGATAGCGTTCGGTGCTTTTACGAGTACCACCCACGGAAAAGGAACTATATATAACCCAGACTGACGGCGAAAGTTCGGCAATTTTTTTCAAAGTATTAAACAGTTCGTGCAGAATGCCAGGTCCCATGCCGTCCCCATCGCAGCCATGAGCCCGAGACGATTTAGGGGCGTAAAACCTTCACTGAAAGAACCAATTGTTTGTCGTCCTCCACGGATTGCTGTGTATCTCAACATCGAGGCACTAGGGGCATATACTACAGACCTGAACTACAGGTTCTCGAAGACATGGTCTTCGGTTATGAATGTGAACAAAATGGTCTTAAAGTGTTCATGGACAATCGCATTCACCTGCAGGATAAAGATTGGAGAGACACTGGAGCCAGAAGTAGTTCTGTACAACAGAAAATGAATGATAAAACCAAAGCCAACACTAAAACCAGGTTGAACTTCCCATGTGCTCATTGAATGTACAGTATGTTATGAACTTTGTAGTGTTAATTACAGTGTTCATTGGTTATTCCATGTAAACCAATCTAAGATAGTTCTTTTAATGCTGTTTTAAGGATACCGATTTTAATTAGTTTTGAAGTTTTCTTTACTTAAGGAAAATCTTTAGAACATTGACAAGAACACTCGTATTTGTGAAGGGAAAATACACATGACAATTTCTCCCATAATTATGAACATACAGTCAAAATAAGTTAGACACCTTTAGCAAGTGCGGCTGTATAGTTCCATGTGTTAAAAAGAAAACACTTATAAAAGTAACTAAATTACCTGTTTCCTGGTGGAAGCGGAGGTCTTGATGCCACACCAGGTGTCAGTGACATTCCTTGATGTCCACCCTCTGGGTTACTGCTGACAGGACCAAACATTCTTCCTGCAGTATCAAAGGGGCCTTGGGAGGGAAGGCCAGGGGAGGATGGCACCGAAAGCATCTGAGATCCATGAGTTGAGGAGCGCAAACTGCTTCCTCTTCGTCGCTGCTGGGTGAACAGGAATTTTACAATCCCACCAGACTTGGGTGCCTAAAAAAAAAAAAAAAAGCAAGCATGATTTACTAGAGGTTACTCACTAGTTTAATTGTCCGCAACCATTTGAAATCTTTGTTTTTGCAGCATTTAGCAACTAGGAGTACCTAACTGTTATTCATCCTTGATGGAATGTGAATGTACCAAGCCATGTGTTCTTTTGAAAGGTTGTCCTGACAGTTCACTGGTGTCCATTTATAACAGTTGGCCTTGCTTGTTCAAAACATGCACAATGCTTTTTCACATAGTTTCTTACTTTTTATAGATCAAAGTCTTTTACATTATTTTGGCACAATTAGAATTTTGCAGAGACCAAAAAGTATTAATCAAGTTTGGATAAAGATGAGAATGATTATGGTATAAGAAATAAACTGTGGGTTGAATGAAAACCTAGGTCTTTCAATAACTCTAAAAGTAAAAAAAATTAAACCAAACATAAAACTCAAGCAGAAAATCTAGAGCATAGATTTACTTTTGTAAGTTATACAGTGGAAATCACAGAAAAATAGACATTTTAGGAAGGAAGGAACTGTAGGTTGAGTGTGGTAAATGATGCATGTTTGGAGCATGTTAGACTTGCAAACCCCAGTTCCAAGGCTCAAGTCCAGTACAAATATCCTGCAATGTTGTACAGTGATTTGAACTTAGTTCTTATTAACCAAGCGGGAGGTCTGTAAAGGAGAATGACCGAGGTCGCCAGTACAGACCGAACGCAGCGAGGTCTGTACCAGTGACCAAGGTCAAGATTCTCCCATACTGAACCGACCTAGCTTGGTTAATAAGATGTTTATTATATGACTGTGTCTTATATGCCAGTTTTTTATATTCTTTGTACCTTTTTTTTCAAGACCAGTCTAGATGCTGGCCTAGATGGGAAAATCTAGACCGCTTTCAAGATTGATTTCAGCCAATCAAATTCGTGAATTCGGTAGTTCCCAGTCCTTGTGAGACACAGCCATATAAGTTAATTATTTTCTGTTGTAAAACACTTGTTTGACAGGTTGACCATCTTGCATGAGTTTTTTTCAAAGGGATAAAACAGGGATATTATTTCAGCAATGTATACATACAAAATAAAGCAGCTAGATGATTAAAAACTTATCATTGGTAGATGTTTTAGTGTGTAACATTCTTGTAGCTGAGTATTTTTACTTGTTTTTTTGTATTTGACAGTTGCCCTGCCAGCTTGTCAAAATACGGTACAAGTTGTAAAAATACTCAGCGATACTACAAACCAAAATGTCTACTTACTAGATATATGTATCATTATTCCAAGAAGCGCAATAAAGAAGACTCAAGGATGATGCATACCTTTTTCCCTGGAGGTTGTGGTAGTTTTTTAGTAAACACCAGCCTGTCACTGGGGAAACCTTCACAGCCTCCAGTAAGTTCCAGTGAGGTCTCCCTCTCTTCAGGGCTTCCACCCTCAAATGGAAGCCACAAAGCCCACTTCAGTGTTACAGTCTGGTTTTGGGACCGCATCAGGCTGCCAGACAGAGAAGGCTGAAAGATTGACATTATAGTAAATGAAAAAAAATAGGCATGGCATTAATTAAACAAAGTCTAACCTAAATGTAGGTCCTGGTTTTTGACATTTAATCAATTGACCCAGAGATTTCTTTTAACAGGTTTTTGGATGTAAATAAATTATTCTCTAGTGAAAGCTATATGCCTTAATGTCAGGCTCTTCACAATAATCAATATGTGGATGAAATATTTGGCTAAATTAATGATAGCTGTGAATGCACATTTCATACACAAATGCTAACAAGTTCTGAGCATCTAGGACTGGTAACCAAATACTACATGCAGCTGGTTGGAATGGTTGGCTAAATGATCTCAGTAAAAAAGGTACCACATAAAAGAAAAAAAACACACAAACAAGAATACACCATAAATTAACTCTGAACATACTAACGATAAAAACAAATCAAACCAAAAAACTCCAAAAAACTCTATGAATTTATTACCAGAACTATTCCAAAACAAATCAGAGTTTTAAACAGAAACCTAAATAAAGTAAATTGAAAAATTGACCAAAATATACATAATGTTTCCCTCTACTGAACTAAAAAGCCAATTGTCTATTAACAAACCTTTTTACGTTTGGTTTCAATAAGTGGCTGAGCAAATGGTTCAGCCAGAACATATTCTAGTTCAAAGATAATAGCAAACAATGGATGATGAACAAGCTCTTTCAGTTCCAGTCGACTCCGAAGGGCCAAAGAGAGGATTTTTCCTACAACAGAGAAATAAACGTCGTGGGAAAAACTCAAAACTCATTAATTTATTATCAACACAAAAGTAAAAAGGAAAGGTCATTTTTAATTCCATAAATGGTCATAATCTGAAAAAGCCAGTTGTATATATCAGAGGAGAAAAGAAAAAACTTAAGTCTTTTTACTGTGACTGTCATGATCTTGTATGAATTATTCTCCCTTGGAGCCGCTACATTTTAGCAGTGACCAGTTGTCAATAAAGAATGCCAAGTTGCACGTTACATCAAGTAGTAGTAGCCAGTAGCAAGCAGGCTTTTTCTCACCAACTATTTTCTGGATAATGTTTTGATACAGCAAGGGAAGGTTGCTTACTGATCAAATCAAGACATTGAAGGATTGACTAAACTTTTTAAAACAACTGCTGGAGGTTCAAGAAAGTAAATGCTATAATTATGCAGTAATCACATATTATGATGAAACAATGTACCTCTTAAAGATGACTGTGAAGCAGGTGATTTTCTTCCTGATTTGCCACCTTCATACTCTGGTTCAAGGTATACTATGTGAGGTTCACTTACAAATGTCCACCCATTGTGTACTGAGACCTTTGAAGCACAAGAAAAACTTTGTATCATATCAAAACAACAAGCTCAGGGCAGGTTATGTACATCATGTAGTTTGCATATAAATTCCTATAGTTATATGCTTTGTTACTCTTTTCCTATGGGGTTGAGGCAAAGAAAATAGCAACTCATTCATGCAATTTAATTGGAGCATGCAGACAAAACCATAAAAACAAATGGGAAAGTACACATTAATTTATATTTAATGATACACATTAAAATCACCAAAGACAAAACAAAATACAACAAAATAATTTTTCAAGTGCATACAAAATGATTATATGTACAAAGTTGACAAACCTTAAGTCTTCTCTCCACAACTGAAATCTGCAGTCCATCATCAGGAATAATATTGTTCTAAAGGAATTAACAAAAATAATGAGTAAAATTGTCCTCAGAGTGACAGTAAAATGCATTAAATGAACAAAATAGTTCATTCCTTCACTTGTCCCTATCATTTCCAGGTAATTGTTACTTTCACTCTACTGCACAAAACATCTCAAGTCAGATATATAATATATAATATTTTGAATTAACTGCACCAGTAATCACAATTTCTTAATAACCGTTTGAATTTTGGGGCACAATTATGTTTTAAGGAGTTGGAGGAAAGTCTTTGCAATATATAGACTGAGTTGAAATACAGTGGTGATCTATTGAACAGAAAAAGTGCCAGATTATAAAATCAGAGCAGTACCTTGTGCAGCCTATCCTGATTGAGTGTTTGCCGTAGTTCATCTTCAAACTCTTCAACTGATGGATACAGCATAATACTCAGCTGCAAAGTGGTCAGTGATATGATTAATGAAGGATGGCATGTCAATGTGCTCAGGTGGCCTGGGTCTGTCCCAGTAAGGGCTAACAGCATACATTTAATGGATACAGCATAATACTCAGCTGCAAAGTGGTCAGTGATATCATTAATGAAGGATGGAATGTCAGTGTGCTCAGGGATCTCCATTTGGTGGCCTGAGTCTGTCCCAGTAAGGGCTAACAGCATACATTTAATGACATGATGCAATGGCACTCTTAACTTATTTATCTGCAAGGTGGGGTCCAGGGGCAATTTCTACTTTGAGCATGTTTTAAAATTTTGGTCTCTTAGAGTGCATTTCTTGCATTCTAGAACTAGCTATGAGTTAATCATGAGTTTGATGCTTGTGTTCTGTGTAAAATTTCTCTTATGCAGTACAAAAAAATTTAAATATTAAGCTCTCAGTCAGGAAAGGGAGGGAAATTAGGTGAAATAAATGGCAAGTTCAGCTGCCTACCAGCTCTTCTTGAAAACCCTAGTGTCCAGACTAAATACACTGCAAAATACTGTTTGATCTTAAGCTGATACCTTATTAATGAAACTTGGTGTAGTTTTGGCCAACCTGGGTTTCTTCAATATATCTACTATTCCAGACCCTAACAAGAAAATCCAAACATGTATTAGCAGTGTAACAATACACATATGACTGTGACAAAAATTTTACAAAAAGAATTTGCATTTTTCGTACAACTTGATACTATATCAAGAAAAATTAAAAAAAAGACTGTTATTTACCTTCTGGTCGTGGCTGCAGAATTCCTGGCACAAAGTCGTCACCACTCATTAAAGCATTTTCAGGAATCAGGTGAAAAACTTTTTCCATAGGTGGATGGATTTGAAGAACAAAACTCAAGGTGCATGCCTCTATGGGAAGCAGACTGGGTGCTTCTTTATAAAGAAAAAGAACACAGTTGAGTAATGACTGTGTTTGGGGGTCACAGATTTAGGGCTAAATCTGTGACCTAAAGAATTACATTCAGTGTGATTTTGATAGTAATAATTAAAATTAACAAGTTAAAGGTAATATGGAAAAGGAATAACATAGCAAATACTGTATACGTATGACATTGAGAAGTAATTTGAACAATAAGGAGTGTGCAACCACGCCTCATCAAATTTCAAAGTTAAGAGAGGCTATTTCATACCTGCACATACATTGGAATTCTGCAAAAGTTTACGTTACAAAATAGGCAAATATAGACCTGGGTTTCAAGCAATAACCAGCATATATAGATTACAAAAAAAGTACTGCCCATTTTTTGAGTTACATGTACTTAGATGTCAAGTGGCTCTGCTAAAAGGAGCTAGGACCAGTTCTGTCAGTTCTCATATCTGAACCTTTTTAATGGGCAGAGAGCATGATCCAAATGGCCAGCTCTGATGAATGGAGAGAAATGAAAGTTTGCACAATGTGCATCCAGCTACTTACCTTCAATTGTTTCAGAGATACACAACAGGCCAGCAGGTGACCCATGGTACAAAGGAATGCTGATGTAAGAGGAAAAATAATGCAGCGAGCAGAAATTAGGAATGTGAATTAAACACTGTTCTTGTCATTCAACACTTTAAAATATAATCAAATCACTTATGATCACACATCTTTCACACCAGAAAAAAACCTCTATATTACTAAGAGGTGTGCTCTCCTTTTTTAAGATTCTCTCACCACTACATTGTGTTCCAAAAGAAAAGAAAATTACAAAATAAAAAGGAGAAGTTAGGAAGTTGGGCACTATGAAGTACATGTACAAGACAGTGAGACAGGGACCTACGTGATAGAGATGGTGCGCAACAAAGGAATTCAGATCTATTTTTAGCATTAACAAGTTTTCCACATTATTTTCAAGTTTGATTCAAGCTGTTTTAACTAGTCATCCAATGGATCTAACAAACCTTTTTGGAGTGGATTCGCCTGTAGTTGTTTCAGATAATTCAGAGAGTCTGTCAAAAATTCTTATTAATGTCCATCCACAACCAAAACTTTGACCATTCACTAAAAATAATTTGAAAACAAAATCATATGACAAATGAACACATGATTAAAACTAAACAAAATATGAGTTTGAGGGCTTTATAGTTACTGTACTAAATCAATTGTCTATGAATGACTAATATTGGTGTTACTTAGAATTAGTCAGGATATAACCAAATCTTGAATTCATTAGAATTGAGAGAGGCATTATAGACCCTAAAGCAAAAATGCTGTCAAGGGTACATTACAATTATGGTGATATGCCTCATAAGTGGGCTTATTAAGAACAGTGTTATTCCCAGTTCAATCATACCACTAAAAAACAACCTCAAGGTTTTCAAAAAGACATTGTCTTATAAATCCTTTTCAATACAGTCATGGCTCGACACTAACTTTTCAACTTAATAGCCAAGTGGCCAATGACAACTTAAATGTCACCACAATTTAAGTTTGTTTACTAGCCAAACTGGCTAGTGGAAATTGAAAACCATTAGCCAAAACTGGATTTCTACTAGTTTGTGGCTAGTTCGCTAGCTGGCTAGTTGCAGTGGAACTTCAATTCAACAAAGTGCCAAGGGACTGGGGAAATTGGTTCATTGTATCAAGAATTTGTTCTATCGAAAGCCTTGGTTTAACATATTTGCAGAAAAATGACCAAAACGTTCTTTATATCAAGTTATGGTTAATTTTGTTGTTGTTGTTGTTATTTTGTTTTGTGTGTGTGTTGACATTAAGCTTAATGTCTATTAGAAGCTACAGCACTGGAAACTAAATGGGTCAACAAAATTTTAATAATTGCAACTGACTTGTCAAGTGTTGTAATGAAAAAGTTAATGAATAGCTCAATGAATGAAGTGCGATACCCTCTTGCAAATTTCGCACGTTGCTACATCCTCCTACAACAAACCTAGTCGGCACGTTTTCGGACAATATCAACAACAACCTT